AAGAAGTTTATGAGCTAGGAGCAGTTAGCTAGTGTGTCTGAGGAAAAATTCCCTTTCCAAACAGAGACCAATTAATCCACTGATAATCGATACCTTGAATCTTTTTTAATTGCGAAACCTTCCTAAACAGTTGTAGTTTTTTTCAGTAAGCATTTTCTTACTATGCCAGCGAATAATGTTGCTGAAGACAGATATAGTTATCTGATTGCACTCTTTAATAGTAAGAAGTAATATGCCAAACAACAAACGGTGCTAAACTATCACTTTATCTCTTACATTCACATGCCAGACATTCATACTATCACACTCATATGCCAGATATTCATACTTTTTGCAAAGCGGATTTGCTTGATGACAGTTCTGAACATCGAGGCATGATTTTTTGTTATTTACACTTAATTCTTTATCATGACATTTTAAAATTCAAAAAACCAACACTAACAAGATTTTCGAACCCATTTTCACGCTGTACAGATGTTACTGTTGTTGTTATCGATTTATACGGCTGATTTTGAAGCTCCAACGTCACTTCCCCATCGTCGTCTAAAAATTAACAACTTGCGACCAACATTTTTAGAACTAATTTCGAAAAGTGAAACGAAGTTAAGTACAGGTAATAAAGTGATCAAAAAAAGCGTTACCGTTTTTAAGGACCGTTATTAAAGAATTGTAAAATTAATAGTCAAAACAAACTACAGTAAGCTACTGAAGTTTAATGTTTTCATTTTATTTTTTTTAATGTTTTCATTTTTTTCCCGTTTAATGTCTTCAGGATCTTTCTCCAGCCCGTTCAAATTCTTCGTCCAGATCTGTACTTTCTTTTCATTCGAAAAGAAATAACGTAGGAGGCACATTAAAGCCATAACTACACTGAAGTAGGAAATACAAAGTTTATTATAAAGATTGGATTTCTGTTAAATGTGGATTATGTAAAGCAAAGGACAAAAAATGTGAAAGCCAGTATCCAAGAATTAATCAGAATATATCATCATCAGTTCCAAGTCATAAACAGTATTTATAATGTATTAGTGTATAAAAAAATGAAATAGGTAGTTTATCTCTCATTAACTTACGT